GATGTCACATAGGATAGGTTGAAATCAAGTCGAGAACGGGCAAAACAATGCGGTTGTGTAGAGCCGTCTCCTCTTCTTAGACCTTCTTTCATTCATTGAAACGACCCGTTTTTCATTCGGATTGTTATACGCAGTGTAGGATGGACTCCTTGCAATAACCTTCGGACTTCAGCCAAGTACTTCGATCACGACTAGGGTTAACAAAATTTCGCAAAGGTGAAACTGCATGATTAGGAAGCTGCGCTGCTTGTTGCGCGATCTGCAACAAGAGCAGCTCTCTGGGCGCATGCATAGTCGATTGTCCGATCGTAACGATACTTAATGTAACGTCGAATACTCAGGCAAGTCTGACGATCGATACGCATCGAATGCTGTGCGACAGTTACGATCGTTGCTGTCGGACGACCGACTATGCATGCGCTCTCTGAGCGCAAGCGAAACTACAATATTGGAGCAGCATTGTTTGCAAGGTGTCAAAATACAACGAAACCTTGGCACATGCGCAAGGGCTGCCATGAAAGGACCGACTCTTCTCAAATGAAGTAGCTCGAGTAATGAACTATTTCGCAAACGTCTTACACACTGAACGGTTCTTACTGAGAATGAAAACTATGTTTGAGCCATATATGCACATTTGAACGCCAGGATCTGAAGCAGCAAGAACTTTACTTACTACTCAATATAATTTAAGCTAAGGCAAAGACTTCTTCCACAAAAATAGCTACAGAAACTACTCTTTTTTGGTGGGTCTAAAAATTGGTATAAAACGTGAAATGCTAGGAGCACACATGAATGAGATGGGCCTTATAGCCATAATTGAAAGGGAACTAATGAGTGACAGGTGTCCTTTTCATGGCCCAAGTTTAGGTCACACAGAATCGTTCTATTTTCAGCATCAAGCTCGCAGACATCTTGGAAATATCAGAAATTCACTAATATTTCATGTGCCCTACGTGAAAAATGAGGGATAGGCTCGCCATCTAGTAGAAAAGTCATGACCTCTTTCCCGTTTAGGAACAATACCACCCAAATTGTCACAGAACTCCCCAGGTGGCCAAATCCCCGGCTGAATGTAGCTCAAGAGAGCTAAACCTTTTAACAGATGGCACTTTTAACTCCTAACTCGGTTGGTTGGATACTAAACAATTTATGTAAATCGTCACGCTTTCAAAAGTCACTAGGCACATGGGTCAAGTACTCCCTGGAATGTCCACTTTACGTGGAAACGATGCACGGCGTATCTCGGAAACAAACTGATCAGTCGCAAAAGATTTTAGTGCGACCGTTGAACACCTCCTGCACCTACAGTCCCAATCTTATCTTATATTTATATATTGCTCATACTTTGGCACTGGCATATGGTAAGAAAGTGGGAAGCGTAACGTTACGCACTAGAATGATGCCCGGCTCATTAATCTTCTATGAGACTATTGGCCCCCCATCTCGTTCGTCGCACTAGTAGAACGGTGTTTCAAATATTACATTGAATAAAACCAATGCAAGCAATGATATTCACTTACCTTTTTAGCAAAATGTTCGAAATATACTCTTCTTCCTGCTCGGCTTTGGCATAGATTTTCACATAAGTTTCTTTAATTTGCTTATTAACGCTAAGAAGGTTATCGTAATTCTTCTGCATTTCACGTAGCTGACGCTGAAATCAATCGAGCTTCTAATGCGATTTGGTGAAATCACGGGAGTAAATGTGCTTTTGCACTAGATAAGAACTCCACCTCTTGTTTACGACATCGTTTCAACAATTCAACCGCTTCCCCATACAGCAGCTGCTTAGAGTCGTCATCTTTAGAGCCGTCTCGATTCACATTGTGAACGACGATCGGCGCATCACGATTCTCCGTCGAACCAAAACGTCGTTGTGCCTATTTGAATGTGAAATCAGTGCAGACGCATGAAAGGACGACGATGGAAAATGAGAAGAAAAAAGAACTGGGCAGAAATCGATGACAGCATGACTCACTACGATCATTTGATATAGTTCGGGATACTTGTTTTTTACCTCCAGGTCACGACTCAGCTCTACCATATCCATTCTGCTGATTGTCGAACGACGACTTGTCTCACCGCTATCCGATATACCGTAACCCTGAATGAATCATGATAACAATAGCATTACGAGAGATTTGTGATGACAGACTTTATGGGTGATTATAGGGAAGGGTGAATGCAGCACAAGAGCGCTGCAGTAGAACGCCTCTCTATCTCTTCCGCTGGAAACATGTGATCGAGAGGACGAACCGTTGTCAAACAAATCCAGCACTATCCATGTCCCTTTTTCTTCATTTCACATGCATCAACTGGCGACATTACACGCGTTCAATCAATAATTGCTGGGTCCCGAGCGGAATCACTGATTGGTTACCGTTGATGTGTGCTGCTAGATGCGAGCGCCGAGATCACAGTGCTCAGGTGCACATTCAAGTGGTTATGACGCGAGGCAGGACAGGTGGTTTTTATATGTAGCGAGGAATGTAGATAGCGATGGCCTCGAACAGTGACATATCTAATGACACGTTCTTTAGTCGGCACAGTCCGAGAACTCAAGCTTGGTCAGGTTACGACTGTATTGATTGCGACATTGTGATTTCGACCTGTCAACATGACAATACTTCGGAGAAAGGAAATTTGACAGTAGTTAGGAATACTTCCCAGGTTGAAAAACAAATCCGACACTTTGAAGAGCTGCAAAAAGTTGGCTGATTCGTTTGGAAAACAATGAATAGAAGAAAGATGACCAATACAGACAGGGATTACCTACTCAAAAATTGTATTGTACCTTTAATAAAACACAAATGCTTTATCAAAGAAAAGGGCTAAAACCAGGGCAGAAAGGCTGAAGGCTTTTTGAGGATTCTCAAGTATCATATTGAGTGATTTTTTTGGAAAGACATGAAACAAAAATCTAATTGTGTACATTATTGAGATAGACTAGCAGAGTACGACAAAGAACTCCCATTATGAGAAAAAGGCATTCAAAGTAAAATCTTTGGTTAGAATCAACTAAGCACCACAAACATCATTCCCTTCCCTAGTATTGCAGGGCACACATATTCCGGGAATGCCCACCAACATCACGAAAAACGTGCCAAACCTCGTCAAAATAACGATATCAAGAGCGGTATATTTAATTGTAACTGGAAGCCACATAGCCACAAAACCTTGACGTCCCACGCTTCTTTTTGAGTTAATCACAGATCACCAATTCAATGAAATGTGATGTAGAGACGAGAGTACTATATATGAACAACGTAAAATTATGATCTCCTTCAGAGAAACTCCTTTGGGAGTCACAGTGAAAGTATCCCTAACGAGCTATTTGACTGTGCTTCTCGGTTATAATTACGAGCAAACAGCAAAGAACACATTCCAGCATAACGCTCTACTAATTATCAAGGTCTTCCTGATTAAGCTCACTGCTTACACCTGGGAAAAAAGCCTTGTACAGCAAGTCTATAACATATCATAAGTAATTTCAGAAAAAAAAGCGTGTCCATATAAAAAAAACGAAAATTGAAAAGAATCGGAAAGTTATGTACCTCATCACTCTCTATAGGAGGATCACCGCACTCCGATGTCCGAGAAGAAATCAGCATCGGCGAAGCAGCAACCGATTCCGGACTATAAGTAACCAATAAAATGAGCTACAATGAGTTGAAGATGAGTATGTCGCACCACCAGAAGATGAGTATGTCGCACCACCAATGTTCGTTTTATTAAGTTCCGGAAACTAATCGTGCGACAACGCTATGTTATATGTATACCTTTTAGTCAAGAAGATCACTTAGTTTAGAACCGTTACCAGCAAAAATAAACAGGTGATAGCCACGATCTCATTCATCCTACTAGTTACAGCTTTGGATTTCAAGCGAAATGGAGACCAAACGTCAATGTAACGTTTTTTTGAGCTTCCTGCGCTTAGAGATATGAATCGGAGCAAACATTCTTATGAGGGACATTTTTGTGTTTTGATGAGCAAAGCGAGAAGGAAGCCAAAGCGAAGTTCTACAGAGCGAGATTCATGCCTTGCGTGTTGATCCTGTCGTGAACGAACAACGCACTTACAACCAGCCACTACAAAAACAAATTCGTCCTACCAGTGCTAAAACTCAACTCGCCTTGGCGCTGATGGCTCGAATTCTGGATGCGGGCTGCTACGCAACAGCGGAAAATCCGAAGGACGACGGTCCATCACCTGTAAAAATCGATAGATTATCGAGCACGAAGAAAAAGAGCCAAACCGTGAACAGTAGTCGACAAATAACAAACGCCAAATGCACACACGAGTTCACGAATCGAAACCAACAAACTCAATCATCTGCGCTCATGCAAGATGCAACACTAATCAATAATTGTGTAAATTGGCTGATGAGGAAAAAGTGGAGACAGAGGGCGATAGGGGAATGTGAGGTATGGAAGAGTTGTATTGATCGTTTAAATTGAACATATGGTTTGATGATAAGAGGGGTGAATGGCAGAGAATGACAATGGCACCGAAAACAATGAATTAAATTCACGACGTACACATCAACACCGCGAATTATTTCAGACCTTCGGGCCCGAAAACCGTAGCACGAGACTTGCCGCTTTACATCACAAATAGTACCCTAAGTATTGAGTTTGGTAATGACTTGTGCATGGAGGGAGCGAAAGTAATAGTAATGCATGCGACGTAGTTAGGTTGAATAACAACTACAAAATGAACACTCACTCCACACATTTCCATAATTGAGAAAGTAAGGTGCCAGGAAAAAAGGCTTGCTACTGTACAATCGCTATGATGGTATCTCGTCCATTTTGAGGCACTCGTTCGAAGGGGTTTACGGACTACTTGATTTTTCCTCAATGGTCCTGCCGCGATGGCTAGAGCACAGACGATTAGAGAATGCCCTAGGACTAAGCCTTGGAGAGGAGAGGGACCCGCTAGAGAGCGCAGAGGCGGTAAAGGGCTGAGTTCAAGTAGTCCGTCGACCAGATTACGTGGCAACTTGAACTCGTCCAGGGGCAGCGGTCAACCAAAAGTCTTGGTGATTCAGCGTTTTGTAGTGTTCTCTAGGCACTCTCGCATATGCACACTATTACAGCGTCTCTGTTTCTTTCCTTCCTTCAAAAGGCCTTAGTTCTAGAAAAGCAGAAAGTATGCGCAACCTGCTTCCCCGAAGGGTTAGGGAACTCTAGGACTAAGCCTTGGAGGGAGGAGGGACTCCGAGTGGGTGAGCCAATTACATGTGGCAAAGTTTGAATGTGTGAGATCACAGTAATCATAAGCCGCTGTTTAGCGAGAGAGCGCAGGCGAGAGCATCAAATCGAGGCGGTTTAAAGGACCGAGTTCAAGTTGTCCGCAAACCGCTGCCCGAATGCCCAGAGCGCAGACGATTGAAAAATGGAGCCTGGCTTGGCTCCAAATGCGAAAATGGGGAATGAGCGATTCAGGGGTGGGCGCGTAAGTCCCTCCTTAACACATTGACGACATTGAGACGCGGTAACGCGTCTCACTTTGCGCACCTCGTTGGACATTGAGACGCGTTACCGCGTCTCACCCTTATCATCCCTTTTTCTAGGGCATGCGCAGCTTTTTCCCGAATTGTTTGTCTCTCTTCTATGGATTAGAACATAACATTATTGTGAACGACATAGGTCATTGTTTGTTCAAATATGCTCCAGTTTAGAAGAAGTTTTCCAAGCTCACCGAAACCGGCGGCTTGGTTCATTAATAGTTTTCATGCTATTCTCATGAACACGTCAATAAAAAAGGGTAGTGAAAGTAAATGCAAATCTAAAGAGACAGAAAAATACATGTTTCACTTGGTATAACCACATCAAAAGAGCTTTTGGCATCCACTACAGATAAAATGACTAAAGTTTCCTTTTTCATTACCATTACATGTTCTTTAATCGGAACTTCGTCACTATATACTCTATTACCTTCTACGCATTGACTGTTACTGAGATGTTTTTGTACCACTGGTGCTTTAAAAAGTTATCAATAAAAATTCACGGATCCGAGGTGCGGCGGTCGCACTCGCAAAATCGGCCCGGTCCCACACGGCCAAAAAAGCCAAAACGCGCGCGGTCGTCAATGTGTTAATGCAGTAGCAAAGCCTGAACGTAGGAAGCCGCTCCAGTCGTAACCCACGATTCGGGCGAGAGGGCGCAGACTAGGGCGGCCCATTGACTTATTTAAAGGACCGCGTTCATATAGTCCGCCGACCTCTGCGTTCTCTGCTACAAAACTTTAGAGCGCAGACAGATGGAGAACTGCGCTTACCGCAGCTTCTGTCGGTGCCAAGAGGGACATATGTGAGTCAGAGGCAATAAAAGCAATTCAGGTGGTGCGAACTACGTGGACCACTTTTCGTGTGGCAAAACTTGAGTGTGCGATGCCATTGAAGTGGACCTCTTCGGCTCTTTCTTGGCACTATTTCAACTGTTGCTGAGCAGCCTAAGATAGGGGGTGGTTCGCTAGCATAAAAAGCGGATTTTCCGCTTTCCGCACGCGAGGCTTTTTCGCTACAAGAACCCCAGGTCCGCTCCTCATCAGCTCAGGCCGGGATCCTGCAGCGAAAAAAGCTTCGCGCTGCGAAGTGCGGGTAAGATCGCTTTCTGTTTTGGCGAATCACTCCCCCCCCCTCCCACCAAGATACATCTTATTAAGCCGATTGCTTCCTCATCCTCAATTTGGGTTCCTCTCTCTGTTCGTATTTGCTAAATTAGATTACCAGAAAGCGGTTCGCTGCAGGTGACGAGATGCTCCGAGAGATGAATATAGGGAAAACACATAGCAACCAGAAATCGTCAGATAAACGACGACGGCCGCAACTCTTCCACAAATCGTTTCGGCGCGACTGCCGCACGACAGCGAGGTCGATGTGCGCAACGTGTAACGGCGAGCGCAAGCGTTATTAACTGGAGCCTCGTAGTACAAAAATAATTGTATCACGTGCGCTGAAACATAGCCTTACGAGGACAGCGAATTTCAATCAGAAACCGATGCACTGTTACGCCCGGTGGGTATTGACGGAGAAAACGATGGCTCATGGATGTTTTTCCGATAGAAAGAAGGGCAAACGCATTTACGTGTTACGGTGGCGGCACTGCCACCAAGTTTAGGCCATAAAAGCGGATGAAAAAGATATTCAAGGCATTTTTTAAAGGGCTGACAAAACAGGGTGCTAACTTAGTTGGTCTGCTCACCTGGGCTCTCTCGAGCGAGACAGTGTAAACTCGAACATTCCAGCTTTTCACGCATGTCAAGTGACTGCCCCCACCCCCCACCCCTAGACTGCCTACACTCCCCCTGGCCCACGGATTTCCGAACATGCCAGGCGAGCAGACTGCCGCGCCGCCGCGTGGCCCCCCAACTAAGTTAGCAAAACAGTGTTCTGACTTTACAGTGTGTGTCATGATGGGGATAAGAATTAACATCTGTGACCTCTTGGAGGATCGATAAGTGGAAGGCACTTTTGTTCCTCATCGTTTGTGAGAGACGCAGAGTATACAACTGTTTTTGCTTCTCTGGCTACAGGAGACTCGACGAGGGCAGACTACAAAAATACATGTATCAGATGGTGATACATAACGGAATTCGTTTTGAAGGAAGTGAGTGGAAACGATCTCTCTCTCATAATACTTTTCTTGACGAATTCTTCGAGATCCTTTCTAACGTTGTCTTACGCTGTGTAAGACAACGTTAGAAAGGAACAAAAAAAAACAGCGTGTTGAATAAATAAATAAATAAATAAATAAATTCTTGAATCCATTCGGCTGTATATGAAGGAATCAAAGAGCGAAGTGAAGAGAGTGGTCGCTATTAATGAAGCCTTTATAAAGGCAAGCTTCGGAATGAAGTAGGTGCGGAAGAGCGTTCACTAATGAAGTTAGAGGTGGAGATCGGTCTAGAAGAAAGCGAGAGAAACCCCCTCTTACGCCCCGAGTAAGGGCCACCTGAATTTCAGCCGCATTCCACCTTTGGATAGAGGATGGGGCGTGTTGGACGAGCTTCACGAGCTTGGTTGTAGTTGCTCAATGCCAATGAATTGAACGCAATGGAACCGCTGCCGCAAATGCGCCCGCGCTTTTCAAGCAGCGTCACGTGGCAACCGACAGCGGAAGGCGGGGCTTGCGGACGAAGGTGTGGATTGCGGGTCGACGAGCTTCTAGCGCCTTTGTCGCGCACTTTCAAGCCGCCAAAGGGACGCGACATCAACGCTTGTAGGTCTGCCTAGTATGACAGAGGGGCATGTCTAATCCCGGAGCGTGCCTCTAAAGGGCCATGTCGCCATTCATACGTTTTCTCAGTGGTACTAGTTGATTAACTTTATTTTGACTTACAACGACTTATTAACTTAATTAACTTAATTAACGACTTATTACGACTTATTTTAACTTACATATGCTGCAAATAGAACGCAAACCTGCACCTGGAATTCATGCTTGATTTTGAGCTTTGTGGAAGCTTTCGGTAGTCGTATCCATCAAACAGCCACTACAGGTTCAAGACTAACTAGCACAATTGTGTAGCAGCGGACTAATCCGCTCGAACGATGAAATCGTCGGTCTCCGGACATCTGTCAACCGTGAGGCTAGGCAATTCAGCGTTTTGTTGTGCTGTCTGGGAGCTCTCACACAAGCGCACTATTACAGAATCTCCGCTTTCTTTACCTCCTTCAAAAGGCTTAGTCCCACTACCACAAAGAACGTCTGCTTTTCCTTCTACACTCTCACCCCCTGGTTGACAGAAGCCTTGTAACCGGAATCGTCGATCTTTGAAGCAGAGTCAACCCTGCGTTGCGCAGTTTTCAACGGCCACGTTGCGCAGTTTCGCCCGATTAGACACGTTCTCTCGCGCGAACATTCACACTCGCATGCTCGAGCCGTCTGCGTCTCCGCCCATACAGCGTGCGTTGAGGATCTCTCAACGTGCCGTTGCGAACTGCGCAACGCAGGGTTGACTCTGCTTTGAAGACGACGATTAAGTCGAAACGTTAGGTCGTTTGAAATGAAAGTTCTACCGAACAACGTCGTACGGCACGAAAAACATTGAAATACACTTAAAACTATCATGCAGAGGTTGCAAGAAGAGAGAAGCTGGAGAATGCTGCAGATGCTGTTGCGGCGGTTTAAATGAAATCCGAGCATTATAGCTTTTGAGTAGTATTAGTAGTATGTGAAGTAGTTGCTCTAAAATGTCAA